GATGAGCCATATGGCCTCCTTCTGTGCTGTATAATTCTGTATTTCTATGATCGTATTGAGATTTACATGCAGAATGAAGTTGCTTGGTCAACTCTTGCAATACACAGAGTGTTTGAGTATCAATTTTGGAGTCAGTTATTCAATTCATTTTGAATTAATTTTTTATCACATCAAATGTGGAATCCGTGTTTTGCCTATTTCACTGTAAATGATCGTTTCTGCCTTTTGCAGTTCACCCTCACAAGCCATTCCGTGAGTCATTTGCTTCTTTCCAAACCCAACTGCTGCTGAATGTGTGAATCGTCATTCAAATATACAATTCCCAATTGCGTTCGGTGGAGAATTGGATTGCAATTCAGAGACTGTAAAGAATGGGATGAAATAGGAGATTGTTGGGGTTTTGAATTGTGTGCTGGAGTCAGTGTGTGTTTGTCTTGTCAGCTTTCAGTTGCTGCACCAGTGACTTTTGATTCCTCCTTTCTCAGCCAACATTCCTGAACCATTGCCGACAGGTGAGACACACATTTGTTATACATTCAGCACCTCAATTGCAGGAGCAGTGAGAATGTTGTCTCAGGGCTGGATATTGCATTTGAATGTTTGAATCAATCAGTAATTCTGCACGATGAAGGTGAATGTGAGTGGGGTTTGTGCTTCTGAATTCTCCCCTCGGATACATTTCCGTTTGCAGAAGACATGTGATCATCTGGAATCCACTGAACATGTGATTGTTCTGTTCACATGTTCTATTTGATGTGCGTTTGCACAGGTGTCAGTCCCATCAGGGACTGGGTTTATGATCTAAATTTTGGTGTGAACTGTTTAATTTGTGATATTCTACAATAACCAGTCATTTTCTTTGCTCTTCCCATCAAACTAATATTTGGTTGTGTTTTCCAGGGAGACCATCAACTCACGTACCTGCAAGTGAGACACTGTTTAATATCTGCTTGATGAGCTCAACGTTGCCGCCTTAAAATAGGTTTGAAATTGATTAGCAAAGGAGAGAGCAGCACCACCTTGTATTTGGCTCAGTTGAAGCTTGATATTGAAGTGTTGGACTGGAGCCAGCAATCACACACGGCATGATGGCCTGGGGTGCAGTTTGGGATGTTTGAATTCAGTGCTGGGATCAGATGTGGGTTTTTCTTGTCGGCTTTCACTTCCAATCATTAAGAATGTGCTTGGCAAAAGAAGACCATGGTCCATCTATTTCACCTGCCACCATCCTGGCAGTCGTCTCCCAAACGTTATCCTAAATCCCGAGATATTATTTTCTGGCAGTAATCTATGTAATTTGTTCTTGATAGAAACAACATTTTCTGTTTTCACTGCTCCTTCGGGAGACTGTTCCTCAAGTTTACTGTTCGCTCACTGAGTGTTTCCACAGATTTGTTCTGATTTCGACAGATTTAGCCCCTTTCAATCGCAGGTCATGTCCCCTGTTCAGCACAAGAAATATCAGCTTGGCGTGGTCTACATTATCTATTCCCTTCAGAATCTTAAAGACCATAATCATATTAGGGCCCCTCAACCTTCTCTTCTCCAGTGTGAACATGCCCAGTTTATCTAATCACTACTCATAGTCCAGACTCTCCATCCCCTGAATCATGTTGGTTGCTCTCCTCTGTATCTTCTCAAACACTGCAATATCCTTTCTGTATTACAGTGACCAGAACTAGATACAGTAATCCAAATGCTGTCACACCAGTGATTTGTAAAGTGTTAGGATCACCCCTATGTTTCGGCTCAACATTGCCTTTTGATACAGCCCGGCATCCGGTTTGGCTTATTCTCTGCTCCCAAGCTTTGTTGAGAAAGCTTCAATTTTTCATCAATCAGGTTCCCAAGGTCCTTTTCATTTTCCGTACAGATTATTTCCTTACCTTTTAAATAATAGTCCCTTACTGGATTTTTTGTTCCCATGGGAAGCACATTTCATTTCTCGATATTAAATTTTATGTGCCATAGATCTGCCCACTTCCTAAGAATGTTCAAATCTTCCTGTAACCTGTCCTGTTCCTCATTGCAGTCAACCACCTTCGATAGCTTTGTAAATGCAAAATCAACAACAATGTGCCTAGAAACCAAGTAGTAAATTAGTTTGGCATGATCTGCCCTTCATAAACCTATATTGACTATCTTTTTTATCAATTTATAACTGACCAGGTGCTCCATGATTTATTTTAGTAAGAATCTCCATCAGTTTATCAAATGCAGGGATTTTTACTCCTCCATTAACTCTAGAAATCCCTTCCCTATCTTACCAGTAGACACATTTTCAACCCAATCAATTTCAGGTAAGTTAATATCTCCAACTGCGATGGTTGGTCCCTTGCTAATCACCTTCCTGATCTCATCCCACAGTTCCAGATCAAGGCTATGACCCTGGTCTGGAGGTCTTTAACAAACTCCCAATAATAGTGGACAGCCTCTGTTGCAATCTATTAATTCTACCGAAAGTGATTCTGTGGCTTCCCATCCTGAACGATGAAGGTGAATGTCAGTGGGGTTTACTGTACAGCCCAGGAAATGCAGAAAGTATTGACCATCTTACTGAGATTCACATGCAGAATGAAGTTGCTTGGTCTAAATTTCAACTCGTGAAATGCACCGACTGTTTGCGTATCACCTTTGGAGTTTGCGATGGTTCTCACCCCTGTTGTAACAAATCAATTTTATTTATGCAAAGTGTACTGGGTGTCCTCTGTTTCAGCTCTTTCTCTGTAAGTGCAAGTCCCGACTCTTGTGGAAATTTCACTAATTAGAGCAACGTGCCGACAGGTATTCTCAATTGCCTCCTGCTCTTGCTATTGAGATGCCCTCATTATAGCCTTATTGCACTACCAGGCCTATAATTCCAGTGACTAACTGCTTGTGTGTAAATCCCCACCTCCATCTGTAGAATATTACAGCAACAAATATACTTTTTAGAAGAAATAACACATGTTTATTAACCCTAAAGACCCTCAGTCTCCTTACTGTGCAGTGTTTGGGTTGGATTGTGTGCTGCAGTCAGCGTGTGTTTGTCTTGTCAGTTTTCAGTTGCTCCACCAGTGATTTTTCTCTCCTC